CAGGCCACAAGTGAGGTAATCGAATTTTCAGAGCAAAAACAGATCCCTAGAGAGAGAAAGTACGAAGAACACATCCTAGAAGCAATCTTGGAGCTGGGTTTCATCAAATCGAGCTTGGAGATCGTCATAGGAGTGGAGATCATCATCCCAGAGCAGATTAATCCCATTGTTATGAGTATGACTGCTTTGTATTATGTTTTCCTCTCTCTCTCTCTATGAAGTAGAACCCTTCTCTCACTTGGGTATGAAGAACCCTAGTTCCATGTGTTGGGGGATTTGATTGTAATGACTTGGGATGATTATACTGTTTGGTTTTAATCGAATGATGCATGTTTTATTGAATTGATTGAAGTCTGATCAGCTTTTCTTGATTTCTGCTGCAACCTGGATAGATAGAATCTGATTAGGTTGTTAGAGCCTCATCATTCGGTAGTAGGAGATTGGCTATACGAGAGTTAGCCAGTTTACTGCTTTGTACTGGAATCCAATTCCAGTAGTGGAGTTCTGTGCTTATTGCTTCAGCTTTCTATCCCGGTGAAGACTAGTCGTCTGCCGGGTAGTTAGACTGAGAGGGCTTGGTCAGCTTAAGAGATTCCAAGCTACTGTCGGATCTTCCGCAGTCTAATCAACAGTAAATCAACCCAGGGTAATTACAATTGAGACCTAACTAAGGAGCTAGGGGGACTCATTCCCGAGTGACTCATCTTTGCTTGAGAAAACCGCACCAATTCCTGCTTTCTTACTGCTTTTGCTTAAAACAACAATCACTTGACTTAGATGGCTAGATAATAGATAATCACGGAGTAAGCAGTAGATCTAGACCCCGGGTTGATAATAGAACTTGCCACTTTACTGCATTCCCGGACTACGATTACACTTGGTCGCAGTTTGGTGTTGTGTTTTGGCGTATCAAGTTTTTGGCGCCGTTGCCGGGGAACCTCTAGGTTATTGGGGAAACGTGAAAATTTGTTACTCTAGCTTCTTCCTTACTGCATTTTCTCTCTTCCACCTGTGTGCCTTCACGGGTTGCTTCTGCTGATTGTGTGCAGGTAGTGCATGACCCCTAGCCAGTCGGGAGATCTACTACCATTAGACTAGGAGCTTGAACGAACATGCTGGAACTTCAAGCGGGCTCTAAAGGCGCGACTGGCTGCGGAAGAAGAGCTAGCACAGCTGCAGATCGAAGAAGAAGAAGAGATGGGGGATCCACAGGACCATGATGTGGTCCTTCCCGAGGAGCAAACCATGGGATACTACTAGACCGCGCGGGCCGCGGACATGAGGTCACCCATTCAACACCCTCATGTCCCAGCCAACAATTTTGAGGTGAGCACCTCCGTCATCACCATGCTGCGCGGTTCGGTAGTGTTCCGAGGCAAAGAGGGGGAGTGCCCCCGTTCACATCTCAGGCGATTCCATGAGCTCATCGATGGAATCAAGATTAATGGGGTCCCAGCAGATGCCATCCAGCTGAGGTACTTCCCATTCACCCTGGAGGGGCAGGCCAAGGAGTGGCTAGACACTCAACCTCCGGGCTCTATCACCACGTTCGCCAACCTGGCGGACAAGTTCCTCACCCGCTACCATCCTCCATCCAAGACGGCGGACATGCAGAAGCAAATTACCCCATTTTGCTCAGGATGAGGATGAGACCATCAGGGATGCTTGGGAGAGATACACCAGTCTCTTCCTCAAGTGTCCTAACCATGGTTTTACTGATGCCTTCAAGGTGGGAACCTTCTACCATGCTCTCTTCCCTGAAGAAAAGCAGCTGATTGATTAGGTATGTGGCGGGAATATGCTCACCAAAACACCGCCCCAGCTGAATCAACTTTTTGAGGAGATGGCAGAGCAAGGCTATGACTGGGGAACTACGAGGAGATCGAGACGGGCACCAGGACGGGGTGTGCATGCTGTATCTACCCAGTCATCTGATCTGGTGCAGGTGGTATCGAAGCTGGTTTCAACTATTGATCGTTCTGGGATGATTGCAGGTACCGGACAGCAGCAGGCGATGCTCTGCCAGTGGTGTGAGAGTTCTCATCACACCGTGGAGGATTTCCAGGCGATGAGGGAGTCTTCTACTCCCCAGGAGCAGATGGACTTCATCGGCCATGCCAGGCGCTTCGACCCCTACAGCAACACCTACAACGAGGGGTGGCGCCAGCATCCCAACTTCGCCTAGGGTGGGGCAAATTCCAGACCACCGGTCCCCCACGGACCACCTGGATTCCATATGCCTCCTTACCAGCCCAGACAAGGGCAATTTTAGCAGCCACAGCAGCCACTCTACACGCCCAGATAGGGGCCAGTTCCACCTCAGTCACAGGTGCGGCCATTTCACCAGAGTGACCCGATGGCGGAATTGCGAGATCTGGTGGGTTCTCTGGCCACCTCCAGTGCAAACAAGTTCAATAACATCGAGCAGTTCATGGAGAAAGCTTCAGGCAAATTCATGGAGCTAGAAGCTGGTCAGAGAAACACGCAGGCTGTGCTTCGGGATATCCATACCCTGCTTGGGAGTGTTTCCCAGGCTGTAGCTAAGAGGCCTCCTGGTACTCTACCCGGTCAGACCATCCCTCATCCGCAGAACCCGAATGAGCACTGCGGGGCCATTACCACCAGGAGTGGCAAGGTGACTGTCGATCCACCTGTTCGGGCAAAAGAGAGAGAGACCCCTGCTTCAGCACTTCCAGCTAATGAAGAGGAAATGGAGAAGGAGGTTGAGGTGGCTGCTCCTAAACCGCAACTAGTGGTGAAGGAGTATGTACCCCAGCTCCCCTTTCCTACTCGGTTGCACAAGGAACGACTGGAGACTGAGTTTGCCAAGTTCATGGCAATGCTGAAGCAGGTGAATATAAGCATGCCCTTCGTGGAGGCATTATCGAAGATGCCCAAGTATGCCAAGTTCATGAAAGATCTCCTCACCAACAAGAGGAAGCTTGGGGAGCTGTCAATGGTGATGCTCAACGAGGAGTGTTCTACCATCCTGCAAAACAAACTACCAGAGAAGCGAAAAGACCCAGGGAGTTTCACTATCCCTTGCATGATTGGTAGTTTGCATATAGGGAAGTCCTTGGCGGATTTAGGCGCTAGCATAAATGTCATGCCATATAAACTGTTTAAAAAGCTAGGCCTAGGTGAACCCAGTGACACTAGGATGAGCATTCAACTTGCTGATAGATCCATTGTGCATCCTAGGGGCATTTGCAGAGGACTTGATAGTCGCAGTAGGGCCATTCTCTTATCCCGTTGATTTTGTGATTTTGGACATAAATGAGGATGTGTATGTGCCATTGATATTGGGTAGACCTTTTCTCGCCACCGCCAAAGCGCTCATTGATGTGAATGATGGGAAACTGATTTTGCGAGCTGGGGGTGAACAAATCACCTTCTCTGTTTATGATAATATGAAACACCCCCACCTCCATGATGATCTAGATTACTGTGATGTTGTTGCTGATTTTGAGACCGCACTCGCCATCACGAGTGAGGGTACTGATGATTTCCTTGAGCGTTGTCTTTTGCTAGGGGAACAGGCATCACAGGACATGCAGCTGGAGGAGCAGCTCGCGGAGCTAGACGAGGCCGCGATCGAGGGGCGAGAGATACCATTCAAGCCGATCCCTATCTCGCCCCGGATCGCTACATCATTGGAGGAGCCACCAGAGCTGGAGCTTAAGCCCCTCCCCTCTCACCTAGACTATGCATTTCTCCGGGAGGGGAATAAGCTCCCGGTCATTATCAGCTCGGATCGGACACCCGAGCAGAAGAGCAGGCTGGTGGCTCTGCTGCAGAAGTATGCCCGGGCCATGGCATGGAAGATCACAGATATCAGAGGCATTAGCCCATCCTTCTGCTCCCACAGAATTCTGATGGAGGATGAGGTTAAGCCAGTCAGGCATCCATAGAGGAGATTGTCTCCTAACTTGGAGGCAGTGGTCCGGGCAGAGATCGTGAAGCTTATGGATGCAGGGATCATCTTTGCTATATCTGATAGCAAGTGGGTCAGCCCTACTCAGGTGGTCCCTAAGAAAGGCGGGATGACTGTGGTCCCGAATGAGAAGTAAGAGCTTATCCCGATGCGGACCGTGACCGGGTGGAGAGTCTGCATCGATTACAGGAGCCTGAACGACGCCACCAGGAAAGATCATTTTCCCCTACCTTTCATTGATCAGATGCTGAAGATGTTGGTTGGTCATGAGTTCTATTCCTTCCTGGATGGCATGTCTGGCTATTTCCAGATTCCTATTGCACCAGAGGATCAGGCGAAGACCACATTCACTTGCCCCTTCGGCACTTTTGCTTACCGGAGGATTCCATTCGGGCTGTGTAATGCACCGACGACCTTCCAGAGATGCATGATGGCGATCTTCGACCGACTGGTCGGGGAGATCATGGAAGTCTTCATGGATGACTTCTCGGTTTATGGAGACTCCTTCACTCATTGTCTCCATAACCTGGAACTCGTTCTGAAGAGGTGTGAAGAGACTAATCTGGCACTCAGCTGGGAGAAGTGCCATTTTATGGTTCGTGAGGGAATTGTGCTCGGGCACAAGATCTCCAATCAGGGGATTGAGGTGGATCGCGCGAAGATTGAGACGATCAGTAAGCTACCTCCTCCCATTTCTGTGAAGGGGATTCGCAGCTTTCTGGGTCATGCAGGCTTCTACCGGCGCTTCATTAAAGATTTCTCGAAGAATGCCCTGCCTTTGACCAAGCTGCTGGAGGAGGATGCACCATTCCAGTTCACTCCCGAGTGCACAGCTGCATTTGAGACTCTGAAGGAGAAGCTTACCCATGCACCTATCATGGTGACTCCTGACTGGTCTCTCCCTTTGGAGCTGATGTGCGATGCGAGTGACTATGCAGTCGGAGCAGTTCTGGGTCAAAGACGCGAGAAGCACTTCCAGCCCATCTACTACGCGTCCAAGACCTTGAACGATGCACAGGAGAACTACACCACCACTGAGAATGAGCTCCTCGCCGTGGTGTATGCGTTTGATAAGTTCCGACCCTATCTGGTGCTCTCCCATGTGGTGTTCTGCACTGACCACTCGGCGATTCGCTACCTGATGAGCAAGGCTGATGTAAAGCCTAGGCTCATCCGCTGGATCCTGCTGCTGCAGGAATTTGATATCAAAATCCGGGACAAGAAGGGAGCCGAGAATGTTGCTGCAGATCATCTTTCACGGTTGGAAGCCCCTCCGGTGGACAATTTCGTGGAAGAGATCAATGACTCCTTCCCGGGTGAGAGATTGCTGGCGATGACTCTGGTGGAAAGCGTGGTCCCTTGGTATTCTGACTTTGCCAATTATCTGATGGGCAAGCAGCTACCTAAGGGGATGGCCACTCATGCAAAGCGCAAGTTCTTCTCCGATCTGAAACATTACTTCCGGGAGGATCCTTACCTCTTCAGGATCGGAGCAGATGCCAAAGGTCAGGTAACATTTCTGCCCGGGATGAGATGCCCCAACATATTTATGTCATTTGTGAAATTTTTGATGTTTGGGGTATCGATTTCATGGGCCCATTCCCTCCATCTTTTGGCAATCTGTACATATTGGTTGCAGTGGACTACGTCTCTAGGTGGGCAGAAGCTCAAGCCATGCCCACCACTGATGGAAGACCGGTCTGCTCATTTCTGAAGCAGCTGTTCTCCCGGTTCGGGACACCCCGCGCCATCATTAGTGATAGAGGAACGCATTTTCAAGGGCAATTCACTAAACTCCTCTCTCGCTATGGTGTTAAGCATCAGGTGTCGGTGGCTTACCACCCCCAGTCAAATGGGCAAACCGAGCTGACGAACCGGGAACTTAAACGGATAATTGAAAAGACGGTGGATCAGTCCCGCAAGGATTGGTCCACCAAGCTCGATGATGCTCTTTGGGCATATAGGACGGCCTATAAGAACCCTATTGGCACTTCTCCCTATAGGCTTGTCTATGGGAAGGCGTGTCATCTGCCAGTAGAGCTAGAGCACAAGGCCTTCTGGGCCATTAAGCTGCTAAACATGGATTTGAGTGTTGCAGGTACTGAACGTAAATTGCAGCTGCTGGAGTTGGAGGAATGGCGTTACCACGCCTACGAGAACACCCTGCTCTACAAGGAGCGAACCAAGCGTCTCCACGACGCTCGGTTAAGGGGCCCGAAGGAGTTTCAGGTAGGTGATCGTGTTCTACTCTTCAATGCACGCCTGAAACTCTTCCCGGGCAAGCTACGTTCGAGGTGGTCAGGACCCTTCACGGTCACCCAAGTTTTCCCGCACGGTGCGGTGGCGATCAGCAATGCTCAAACTGAGCCATTCAAGGTGAATGGCCACCTCCTAAAGCTGTACTTGGGAGGTGCTGTCGAGCGCGCAGAGCTGCTGATCAAGCTCGAGGACCCTTAGCTCCTCTACTGGCGTCAAGCTAAAAGACGGTAAAGAAGCGCTTGTGGGGAGGCAACCCCACCTAGGTTTGCCTTTTCTTACTTTTTTCCTTTTGATATTTTGTGTTTTTGAGTCTTGAGGTGTTGTTCACGAATTGTATGTCGTTCTGGAATGAAAACATGTCAAATTCAGAGTTCTGGCAGCCCACACGGCCAGCCCTGAAAGTCACACGGCCGTGTGGAAATGGGTTTTGGCCGTGTGGATTCCCTGGACTTTTCACACGGGCATGAGGGGTCCCTCACACGGCCGGGTGGAGTTGGCCCCTGCCCGTGTGAGCTCTCACTATTTTTCACACGCCCAGGTGTGCTTTGCACACGGCCGTGTGGATTTCCTCGGCCTGCCCGTGTCGGCCAACACGGGCACATGTGCACCTCACACGGCCGTGTGAGCCTGCCCGTGTGGCCGAGCCACGGGCTATAAATTCGGCCGACACGGCCGAGTGGTCAGAATTTCAACCTTCACTCGCCGGAATCCTCTCTCCCTCGCCGGAAAACCGCGACTTCTCACCATCTTTGTCGATTTTCGGCCATTTTTGGTCGTTTTTTCACAAATCAAACACCATACCCACCCTTTCCTCCCCATTATCGGCCTATCCCTCGATTTTGAGGTGATTTGGCTTGATTTTGAGTCGCCGGGGCGATTTCCGGGCAGTTTTTCGGCCTTTCGTCGCTTCCATTGCCTTCCCCTCATCATCCCCTACACCTCTACTTGAGTCTCCAGGTTTGATTTTGACCTTAACTATGTTATTTATGGAGAATTGGGTGTTAGGGTGCATGTTTAGAGAACCTCTTTGAATAATGTGAATTGTGTGCAATTGATTGAGGGGAATGCTTGGATTATGTATGAATTGTGTTGGGCATTGTCCCCCTTGCTTGTTTGAGCCCTTGTGTGCAATAATTTTGTCAATTCCATGTTTACCTTAATAGTGCACACAAGGTGTTCGATGAAATGCCTGTCTTCGTACCATTTTGTGGGAGTCGGTTGGGGCCCTTAATGATGTGCTTTGAGGGTGTGTTTGCTATGGATGTGAACCTTGAGTTGGCTACTTTTTCACGGATGTGCACCCATACCTTGATTATGCTTGTTTGATCGAGTTTTTGACCCCCGAACTATGGATGAAACCATGGTTCGGCTGTTTTCTGTTCTTAAGTGTGGGGGTGTGATTTACCTTTCCTTTGGCTCTTTTGGTTCCACTTTGGGTTGTTCTTTTGCAGGAGCATGACGAAGCCCGATCTCAAGCACCAGTTTATTCGAGATTTGAGGAGGGGCCCCCACCGGGATCGTTTTAAGAGCGTCCTGGCCTGCAAGTTTGGGCAGCATCATTGCTGGTCCAAGCGGGAGTTTGAGAAGCTGAACTGCTACGAGCACTTCTCCGCCATTGTCACCAACCGCCCCTGGCGCCGCCTACTCTGCATTTGCGAGAAGGTTTACTACGAGCTCGTGCTTGAGTTCTACACAACCTTCCAGCACACCGACACGGAGAATTGGAAGGACGGAGAAGCCGTCAAGTTCAGGCTCGGCGGTGCACCCCCGATCCATGAGCTACCACGAGCAGGCGGCCGCCCTAGACCTCGGCCTGGTCGATGATAGGGACTACGTCACCGAGCTTCTCGAGCCAGAGGGGGTGAACTTCAAGACACTGTACACCCGCCTCGCTCGGCCAGGCCAGCTTCCCTTCTCGGCGGGGAAGACGAAGGCCAGCACATTGCAGCTTGACAACCGCATTCTCCATCACTTGCTGGCCAAGTCTTACACTCCAGCCTCGGACAGTGCCAGCGCCATCACAAAGAGAGCCATGTACTTCATCCAGTCTATGCACCAGAGGGATCATCCCCTCCACTTGGGTTCGGTGGTGGCGAGGACCTTCGACAAGAGTGCTTCCGAGCTGAAGAAACTCCACTGCACTCCCCTCATCACCCGCCTGGCCGCCTACTTCCAGATATCACTGCAGGGGTGCACAGAGCAGGGAGACACCAGTGTCTTTGGCTCATTTACGATAGGTCGCATGCAACTGCTTCGAGAAGGGTGAGGAGTCCAGTGGATCGAGGGGTTTCCTCAACCTCAGATCCCAGAGGAGGACTAGCCGGAGGTTCCTGAGGTGCGGATGATGAGTATGTCCACCCCGAGGATGTGGATGATACTGCTGCCGCCCTCCCCACCACCTTCGAGTACGGGGGTGGCTGTTCCACTTTCCCCCGCCAGGACTACTTCATTCAGCAGTTCGAGCAGCTGCGTGTCCAGAATCAGTAGCTCTACGACCATCAGCTCCAGTTTCAACAGCAGTATTCGGCTCACCATGCTGAGTACCAGACCCGGTTGGCTGCGTATAATGAGCGCCTTGATCGGATGGAGACCTAGCAGGGGGTGACCCTGGCTCGCATCGAGAGAGAGCAGGCCCGATCTCGGTGCATGCAGGAGGTTCAGTAGCACCTGCTCCAGCTGCTACCAGGCGAGCAGCCAGTCTGGAGGACTCCCTGGGAGGACTCTCCACTTCCACCTCCATCAGCTGATGATGATGATGAATTCATGAATGACATCGATCTGGACAACCTTGGTGACGAGTAGGCAGTACTTGTCGCCCCTCAGTGTGTGTTTTTGTTTAGACTTTTTATGTTTGCTCCATGTGTTTGAGGAGCTTGAACTAAGTCTGTCGGTTGTCTTTTGTCCTTTTTCCTTTCTTTTGTGGATTGTTATTTTGTGGCCATCTGGGCCAACTCTGATCCCTAACGCACGGTGTGCTAGTGTGTTCTTGATGTTCCTTTAGTGCAGAAATGCCTGTTCGTTCCATATGTCCCCGGCTGACTGGCCCACTTCCAGTCTTCTGCAGTATTTCAATCCGGTAACATCGTCCCCCTTATCTCTCTCTCTACTCCATTGAGGGCAATGTCGTGCTTAAGTGTGGGGGGGGGGGGGGTGCTTTGTATCGGTTGGAATTTGTATACGTGTGCTTGGAGCCTAGTCCGCTGTCCAAATCTTGAGATTTGAGGGCTCCAAGTACAGCTGTTTGATCATATTGGCACTGTGTTTGGATTGGTGAATTGAATGGTTTTCGGATTAATGCATGACAACTGGATGGTGACTAGGGCAACCTATAATGATGATTGAGACGTGCAGTAGAGTTGTGTAGGGGTTCAGTTTTTCAACTGTTTGCTTACCAACTGTGACTTGAATGGATCACTTGTTCTTGACAGTAGTTTATGCATCTAGTTCAGGGAATCAGAATGAGAGATAGAGCATATAGGTAGCCATGTGAGATTTGAGCCTGCTCGTTTCTTTCTTGTGCGATAGTTCCCTCTTCCATGATGTGTAGCATTCACGTTGTCATTAGCTAAGATGATGGAGGCATAGGATTAGCCCACGACCAAATTGACTGTCCTGGTGTGTCATACCCCCTAGTCAGCCCCTTTGAGCCGTGTGTTCTCCTTTCTTTCGGTCTACAATGAAAAATCCCCTTTTGCATCTTTTAGAAGGTTCCACAGAGTGATTTTTGCATGTTCTCTGCTGTTTCTGCTAAATGTAATGTGAGAGTCGGAGGTAGTTCTTAAAAAGTTGGGCATGTGTTTGAAAAATGTGCAGAGGTGGTGGTTCTCTTAAGAAATGGAAAAAATGAAAGAAAAACAAAGAAAAAATGAAAGAAAAAGAGAGCCACCACCAAAAATTTGAATAATGCCCATTAGGTAGTGTTTCTTAGCAGTCTGGCTTAGAAATACTAGCATTTATGTGACCTCCTTCCCTCTTGTGCTCTGAAGAATTTGAGTAATGCAGAATAGCAGAAAGAAAGTACTGGTTTGATTGACTGTGAGTTTGTTGGGTTTGGAAATGTGGAACCTTGTGCTATGAATACTTCCACCACCTAAAAGGCCTTTTCTCCATGTCCAAGACCCTAGCCAGTCGTTTGAACCTGTGTCTAAGACCTCCGGATTAGTTAATGATGACAACCATTTATGTGAACTCTAACATTTAGAGGCTGCCGTCATGGTGAAGAGATGTTAGGAATTGAGAGAATAAGTATGCGCACTTTTCGCATCAAATTGTCCTGACCCCACTGGTCGAGAGCGAGCGATTCATTTCCTTGTTCTTTACACTCTTTACCTGGTGAGGATCTAGATGGCTCGGTCTTGATTCTGATGTCTTGAGTTTTATGCATGAGTTGACTGTCTTGAGTAAGTGGTTGAGTCAAGTCTAGGTTGGTTGATGAATAGAAGGGAGACTCCTCCTTTACTCGATTTTGCTGCACTCGAATGTCTTTTGTGGTGGTTGTCCAGGTTGCTATTGAGGTTGTTCATGTGTTGATGTTTGCAAGCCAGTATGATTCACGTGTTCTGTGCCTATATGATTTGTCCCCAATGTTGGTTGATTGAAATATGTGAGCTTACCTTGTGTCTGACTTGGTTTGCTTGGGGACAAGCGAACGGTTAAGGGTGGGGGAGTTTGATAAACCGTTAATTGCACATGTTTTTACCCCTATTCTGGAGCCGTTTGAGGTGTTGATTCTCGTGTTTTAGGCCGATTTCACGCTAGTTTGTGCTTGTTTGTGATATTTCAGGTCCTAGTATGTGAATGAAGGTTTGGGAGCGAGTTCGGGGTCGATTGGACGAAGATCGGGCGTGAGGCAAGTCGTTGAGGAAGCCACACGGGCACACACAAAACCCACACGACCGTGCAAGTAACCAATGTGGCCGTGTGGGATTGTGCGAGCCTCAACACGGGCAGGAATAAATCTCACACGGCCGTGTGAAGGAGCAATGTGGCCGTGTGGGATTATGCGAGGCTTCACACGGGCAGACTGGGTGAGCTACACGGCCGTGTGCCCCTGGCCGTGTAGGTAGCCTGAAGTGCAATTATTGGAAACGCTGCGTTTTGTGTCTCACACGGGCAACTGGGTATGCCACACGGCCGTGTGGCATGCCCGTGTGATCGGGATTTTCTGGTTTTTACCCAATTTCGGGCCACAAGCGAGGAAATCAAATTTTCAGAGCAAAAACAGAGCCCTAGAGAGAGAAAGTACGAAGAACACATCCTAGAAGCAATCTTGGAGCTTGGTTTCATCAAATCGAGCTTGGAGATCGTCATAGGAGTGGAGATCATCATCCCAGAGCAGATTCTTCCCATTGTTATGAGTATGACTGCTTTGTATTCTATTTTCCTATCTCTCTCTATGGAGTAGAACCCTTCTCTCACTTGGGTATGAAGAACCCTAGTTCCATGTGTTAGGGATTTTATCGTAATGACTTGGGATGATTATACTGTTTGGTTTTAATCGAATGATGCATGTTTTATTGAATTGATTGAAGTCTGATCAGCTTTTCTTGATTTCTGCTGCAACCTGAGATAGATAGAATCTGATTAGGTTGTTAGAGCCTCATCATTCGGTAGTAGGAGATTGGCTATACGAGAGTTAGCCAGTTTACTGCTTTGTACTGGAATCCAATTCTAGTAGTGGACTTCTGTGCTTATTGCTTCAGCTTTCTATCCCGGTGAAGACTAGTCGTTTGCTGGGTAGTTAGACTGAGAGGGCTTGGTCAGCTTAAGAGATTCCAAGCTACTGTCGGATAATCCGCAGTCTAATCAACAGTAAAACTACCCAGGGTAATTACAATTGAGACCTAACTAAGGCGCTAGGGGGACTCATTCCCGAGTGACTCGTCTTTGCTTGAGAAAACCATACCAATTCCTGCTTTATCACTGCTTTTGCTTAAAAAACAATCACTTGAATTAGTTGGCTAGATAATAGATAATCACGGAGTAAGAAGTAGATCTAGACCCCGGGTTGATAATAGAACTTGCCACTTTACTGCATTCCTGGACTGCGATTACACTTGGTCGCAGTTTGGTGTTGTGTTTTGGCGTGTCAGGTAGTATGGTCGCAAGGATGAAACTTAAAGGAATTGACGGAAGGGCACCACAAGGAGTGGAGCCTGCGACTTAATTTTACTCAACACAGGGAAACTTACCAGGTCCAGACATAGTAAAGATTGACAGACTAAGAGCTCTTTCTTGATTCTATGGGTGGTGGTGCATGGCCGTTCTTAGGTGGTGGAGCGATTTGTCTGGTTAATTCCGTTAACGAACGAGACCTCAGCCTGCTAACTAGCTATGCGGAGGCACCCTCCTTGGCCAACTTCTTAGAGGGACTATGTCTTTTTAGGCCAAGGAAGTTTGTGGCAATAATTGGTCTGTGATGCCCTTAGATGTTCTGGGCCGCACGCACGCTACACTGGTGTATTCAACGAGTCTATAGCCTTCGCCGACAGGCCCGGGTAATCTTTGAAATTTTATCGTGATGGGGATAGATCATTGCAATTGTTGGTCTTCAACGAGGAATTCCTAGTAAGCGCGAGTCATCAACTCGCGTTGACTACGTCCCTGCCCTTTGTACACACCGCCCGTCGCTCCTACTGATTGAATGGTCCGATGTAGTGTTCGGATCGCGGTGACGTGGGCGGTTTGCCGCTGGCGATGTCGCGAGAAGTTCACTGAACCTTATCATTTTGAGGAAGGAGAAGTCGTAACAAGGTTTCCGTAGGTGAACCTGCGGAAGGATCATTGTTGAAACCTGCAAAGCAGAATGACCAGCGAACTCGTTGTTAAACATGGGCGGGATTAGAGCGAGATGTGGCTCCTGGCCCATCTTAGTGATGACCTCGTCTATAGGGGTGTCTAGTCCTAGTGGCCATTCTCCATCCTCACAAACTAACAAACCCCGGCGCGCAATGCGTCAAGGAATACTCGAGCGATATCGTGCTTCGTGCCCGGTCTTGGTGCATTTGGCATGTCTATCCTCCAACTAATCATTATAATGAATCTCGGAAACGGATATCTCGGCCATCGCATCGATGAAGAACGTAAAGAAATGCACTACTTGGTGTGAATTGCAGAATCCCGTGAACCATCGAGTCTTTGAACGCAAGTTGCACCCGAAGCCATCCGGTTGAGGGCACGTCTGCCTAGGTATCACACAATGTCGCCAAATCCCCAATTGGGGATGGGCAGATGTTGGCCTCCCGAGGTATCACTCGAGCCTTGCGGTTGGCCGAAAATGAAGTCGTCGGCTGAGGACGCCGTTGCGAGTTGTGGTTGAAATTACATTAGAGTCTCATCGCATGCGTGTGCTCCTTGGTCGATGGCACCACAATGGACCCTAAGGGACTAATGGACCTTCAATATGAGACCCCAGGTCAGGCGGGAACACCCGCTGAGTTTAAGCATATCAATAAGAGGAGGAAAAGAAACTTACCAGGATTTCGTTGGTAACGCGAGCGAACCGGAAAATGCACAGCTTGAGAATCGAGCACCCACGACACTCGAATTGTAGTATGGAGAAGCGTCCTCATCGGTGGACCAGGCCCAAGTCCCCTGGAAAGGGGCGCCAGAGAAGGTGAGAGCCCCGTCATGCCCGGACCCTGTCGCACCATGAGGCGCTTTCTGCAAGTTGGGTTGTTTAGGAATGCAACACAAATCGGGCGGTAAATTCCGTCCAAGGCTAAATACGGTCGAGAGACCGATACGAACAAGTTTCGCGAGGGAAAGATGAAAAGGACTTTGAAAAGAGAGTCAAAGAGTGCTTGAAATTGTCAGGAGGGAAGCGGATTGGGGCCGGCGATGCGCCTCGGTCAGATGCGGAACGGTGAAAGTTGGTCCGCTGATCGGCTCGCGGTGCGGACTGACGCGGATATTGGCAGCGGCCCAAGCCCGGGCCTTTGATACGGACGTGGAGATGCCGCCGCCTCGATCGTGGAATGCAGCGCGCGCCCTCACGGCGTGCTTCGGCACCTACGCGCTACTGGCGTCGTCCTGCGGGCTCCCCATTCGGCACGTCTTGAAACACGGAACAAGGAGTCTGACATGTGTGCGAGTCAAAGGGCGAGTAAACACGTAAGGCGCAAGGAAGCTGACTGGCGGGAACCCCTAGGGGTAGCAGCGCCGACCGACCTTGATCTTTTTAGAAGGGTTCGAGTGCGAGCATGCTTGTCGGGACCCGAAAGATTATGAACTATGCCTGAGCGGGGTGAAGCCAGAGGAAACTCTGGCGGAGGCCCGCAACGATACTGACGTGCAAATCGTTCGATACATGGGTGTGGGGGCGAAAGACTAATCGAACCGTCTAGTAGCTGGTTCCCTCCGAAGTTTCGCACAGGATAGCTGGAGCTCAGACCGAGTTCTATCGGGTAAAGCCAATAATTAGGGCCATCAGGGGTGCAACGCCCTCGACCCATTCTCAAACTTTAAATAGGTAGGACGGCGTGGCTGCTTTGTTGAGCCACACCATGGAATCGAGAGCTCCAAGTGGAAGCCGGGTTACGGTGCACAACTTTGCGCTAACCTAGAACCCACAAAGGGTGTTGGTCGATTAAGACAGCAGGACCGTGGTCATGGAAGTCGAAATCCGCTAAGGAGTGCGTAACAACTCACCTACGTAATCAACTAGCCCCGAAAATGGATGGCGCTTAAGCGCGCGACCACACCTGGCCGTCAGGGATGGGCCTCGCCCCGATGAGTGGGAGGGTGCGGCGGTCTCCCTAGAAACGACTTAGTCAGAGGTAGTGTCCAGCGGCTGGAAGAGCACCGCA